ATCCCATGTGGTCACAGGAGATGCATCAAGGAAACAATGTAAGGCCAGGTCTATGTAACACTGTCCGCATGTGACCTGATAGCCCCAAACCGATGTTAATACCAGGTCTGGGTGAGACCTCCTGTCATCAGTGATTCGGTCTTCCCTAAATAATGAATTATTTTACACTGTTTTGCTTCAAAATAAAGCCACTGCTATAATTTTATTCCCAGGCGGCTGGCAAATGTTGTGTACAAGGCACCTAGGGAAAAATATTGCCTAATAAAATATAACTTAATTAAATACACATCACTGTCTGCACAATCTCTTTCAGTCACAACTGCAGGTTAATTATCTTGCTCTCAAGACTTGTCATGTAGCAACATGTGTTTGTAGACCAAAATTTTGAAAGCTTAGCAAGACATATAGTACAAATATAGCTAATTGTACAAATAACCAGGAACATCATACAAAGAAAATAGAAATGACAACACTCATTACCCTAGAGACTTGGGACAGCAAATAACCTGTAAGAAACTTTTCTTTTGCTAAAACAAAAGTACAGATGCATTCTTGTCACTAGATACTAGTCTATATACTAGAATTGTTGTCATTACCGTAGCATTGCTGCCGGATGGGTGACACTTTCCACCAGGTCATGTTTATTCTTTGTCTCTTTAGTGCGTGCTTGCATGGGAAACAATGCTGCCATTCACAACCCCAATACACACTCACATGCTGCTCAGAAATATTTCTAAAGTGGCTGAATAGCAGCACTGCAACAACTGTGCAGAGACACTGTATGTGGAAGGTTCTTCCCAGGTCACAGGCTGTCATTTTCTGCTGATTAGCCACATGGAGACCAACTCCAGGGCACAGCCCAGAAAACAAACTAGCAGCACCGCTACTGTAACTGCTCACAGACACACAGGACTGTAATGGGGAAACAAAGCCTCCTATAGGGAGTGACCTGGTTGCCCTATGCTTTCCACTGACTGTGAATCCAGATGAGTGTGGCAAATTTATGCCTAACATGCCACTGTGGGAATCTGCTGCTGAGCTTTTACTTTTTCAGCTTCTTCCTCCAAAGATATGCCTGCAAGGGAGTAAAGTGTTTTAAAACAATATATTTAACAATTTTATGTTTTCCGATTAATAATTCATCCCTTAAAAACCAGGCTAACTGTGAAATAATTTACAGTGTCATTACAGGAGTAGTATAATGATATGATACTAAGGCAATAACTTCATACATCAGAAGTGTTCTTGGACATCATTTTAAGAGCAAAAGGAAAATAAAAATGTTCCCATGGGTGTAAATAATAAGGTTATCAGAAATATCCAATCAGATATAAGGAGCAATAAAACCTTTTAATCTAATAAACCATTTATAAAATTGGACTGAATCCTGTTTAGAGTGAGTCCAGAGACTAAAGACTTATAAGCAATTATATATAACATATGTAAATAATCACAATTAATAAAGATGATTTAACGTTCCTACACGTGTTAAAAACAAATCCGGTATATTGCTGGAAAATAAACAGATTAAAGCAGGTACATGCATGTGTTTTACACCTGTTTTTATTGGTGACTATAAAATCAATTTATCCATGGACTTGCTGCCCTGTACTCAGTGAGGCTGGTTTGATACAAGCTGTAAAATTAATATTTTTGAATGTGTATCACCAGTGTATTTCAGTAAAAATACTGCTGATTTTGTCTATGCTATAGTAGTGCTCTTAGCATAATCAAAGGTACACCGTCTAACATCAGTTTTGTCAAGTGATGCTCAATGCGTGTGATCATGTCTTCTGCTTCTCTATTTCATTTGACTTAAATAAGGACTATGTGGTATGCACATCAAAGGTAGGCTGATGTTAAAAAGGTTTTCAGAGACCATTATTAACAGCACTGTGTAAAACGACTGTCCTTATGAATCGACAAGCTAATCATGGTATTATCACCAAGTAGTAGGATAAGAATGTGAACCCATGACTATGCCTTGCTGTTTCATCATATACTATGTCTTCTTATTTATTACTATCTGCTACTGACTAAAGTTAACACATATACTGTATATACTGTGTACAGGAAATTACAGTTACTAAACGATAATCAACTATACAAGTCAGTTATTACAACATACTGCAATTTCCATTTCTTACACATTCTACACAAAGAGCTGGTTCAGAAACATCCATCACATTCCATTACATTCACATCAGTTATTTCCTGACAAAGGTGTCAAGGTTACAAAGTTAAGGAGCAATTTCATAATACCTGCACAGATATTATGTCAGAGAACTTTATTGCATTTGATGACTAAAGTACCACTGTACTATCTTATTAACATAGTTAACATATCACAGCATACAATCCTGAACTATAACCCATACTGTACTACAAGAGAACATGGGTTACTGCACAAAGGATAATAAGATCTCATCATGTGAAGTGATTATAAGAATGAGCAGTTGTAAGCAGTCCTGTGAAATTATTTCCATTTTGCTAATCACCTTAAGAACACTTTCCAGCTGTTTTAATTTCTTATGTTCGTCATAAAAATTGTTTGGCAATATAATTTATAGAGGAAATACATTTTGCTTAATTTATTGATTTACAATATTATTTAAGCCTCTGTGTCCACACAATGCAACGACTCCAAAAAAAAAAAAAAAAAAAAATCAGGCCCCCCCCATCTACAAGACAATGGTCATCAATATAATAGCAATCAAACAAGGTTAAACGGTCAAGGTTTTGGTCCTCCTTCATTTTAACAGTTGTACTATTTTAGAGTATTTGGCAACAGACTTCTAAGCTTTAAGACATTGCCAACTGAACTACTCACCCAAATGACCAGACACTTGACATTGGCTGACAGCTTGGTTTGACACACTTATTCTAATCTAATCTCCAATCCCCTTCGTCTGTATTGTCTCAGCTAGTTAAGACTTTCGCTAAAGAGACAGCGCCCCACTGTAAGGAATTAAACCAGAACACTCCTCACTGAATGAATTACAACACAAGGGCTCAGTTCAACAGGGGATTTAAAAACAATGTTTGTTGTACGACACTTACAAGCAAATGAAATATGTGCATGTGAGCTGACATGCCATTAAATATGTGAAGGGTGATTAATTGTGACGGTAAAATCAATTTGTGGAATCACGCCAACTCTCCGCTGATGTCAAAAAACACACAGCCATATGCAAATGTTATATTGAGGAGGGAGGATATCAAAAAGCCACGACCCTCTGACAGGGATTTAATCCCAAAGAAAGCACCACAAGTGATCAACAATGACTTGTGGGAAAGACCTGTGACATCAACACTGGCTAATTGTTATGCTGTAAATACACAAATTAAGCCCTGCACTCAAATGATAACCCATCAGAAAACCATGACCATAACATGATAATATGTGTTGAAGGGTATTATATCTGATTTGTTCCTGTGTTCACATATAAAAGACAGAATGTTAATAATCAAATCAGAACTGTGCATGGGTTTGGCCAGTTTTCTGCATAGGCAGATAGAAGGATTCAGTGAACAAAAGAAAACAGGGAACAAGCATACTGTGCATAGAGACATTACAGTGTACGAGACAGCCAAAGGCTTGTCATGGCAAATATTCCATTGTTTGCTGGTTTTTGCATGTTAACCAATAGAGAAAATGTCTCTTTTCAAAAAGGGGGATTTTTAAGACCAATTCAATGCCAAAATATTCATGTATCACCGGCAGTCTGTTAGTTTTAATAATTGCACAACAAGCTGGAAATACAAAAAAAGTGAAAATTGCCAACACTGAATTGCCGTGTAAAAGCACACATTTGACATGATGAAAAACTAGCCTTTGTTTAGCCTGAAGCAGGACGGATTAATGTGTTTTACAAGTCCT